TCCCCAGGAGAGGCTGCTTCCTGTGCGTGCTGTCAGCGAGCCATGAGGACGTCTTCATTGAGAGAAAGCAACAGGTCACAGCCGAGCAGCGGTCCGGTCCCAGATACAGAGTCCAATAACATCCCGCAAATTGTGTCTGGAGTCCATCCAGGCTGCGTTTGTATTGTTCCTCCAAACACCAGAGAGATAGAAGAAGGTTGCAGCCGGGTCGTTCTCTCGGGAAACGCTTCCTCTGTCCAGAAAAAAAAAGTTTCTGCATGTTCTCCTTCGACTCCACAAGATGCACAGCAGCCCCTCCACGCGCCTTAATCCTAAACATCACCAAGAGAAACCTCGAGCAACCGAAAACATCCGCCGTCCAGCTGACGAGCCCCAGGCCTGCTCTCAGCCATCCCACAGTCCATTAGAAAGGGAAATGTGGACGGAGAGAGCACGCCGCCTCGCTTAGCTCGGGTCTCATCTTCTCATCTTGATGTGCCCAAAGGCTTCGCATTCAGAGCCACAAAGCGGCAACGAGTTGCTGCAGCGGCTCGGCCAGAAATGGCTCCGTAGCCGGTGGTCAAAGCTCGGTAACTGTCCCCGCTCTGGATGTGCAGCAGCTTAAAGGGTTTCTCTGCTGCAAGGAGAGGCAAGAAACTGAATAAATGAATGCATCCACTGGCGCTAAAGGAAATGAACAGGATTAGAGTATGTGAAATGGTAAATGGATATATAAATATATAAATATACACACTGTATATGGCGCTTTTCCACCTGAGCAGAACAAAGTGCTTTACAAAGCATCTCATTCACCCACACACACACACACACACACACACACACACACGCCGGCCTGCTTATTGGAAGCAAATGGGTTTTGCCTCAACCTTGAAGTACTAAAAAGCATAGGTACCATTTCACAAAGCGAAGAGCTTCTGTTTTGACTTTCATCTACGGGCTAAATTGTTCCAGGAAGATGAGATACCACCAGGCATCTCAGACTCAGGCGCAGGAGATGACAATGATCGGGCTTACCGTAATGCACATTCCCTTTGTGATAAATGCAGCCGCACGTCGCTGCGCCGAGCGACGACTTGAGCTTTTACAGTTCAGGAAAATGTTAAATGGTGTTCGTGTAGGAGAGCGCGAGCAAACAGCGGGATGACAGGAGCTTGTGTTGGACATAAAACAACCGAAACTTGTGGTAGACTTTCCTCTAAAAACTTACATCTGTGTATTGAAGCTATCACTGCCTCTCTTGACTCTTCAAACTCTGCAAAACAAGTTATAATATTGGATTTGTTGAGCCACACCAACCGATTCGAATCTTGAGGCTGTCGCATTTTCAAGGTGGAAATGCTCACACGGTGTCGACTCCTTATTTTGCTGGTGATACGTCTTCCACCCATCCATTTTCTTCCACCTAATCCGGGGTCAGGTCATGGTAGCAGCAGGCTAAGCAGGTAATTCCAGACTGTACCTCTCCCCAGCGCCGCCTTCCAGTTCCTCCTGGGGGATCCGGAGGTCAGATGAGATATTTAATCCCTCCACTGAGTTCTGGGTCTATCCTGAGGTCTCCTCCCAGTAGCCTGGAAACTCCCCAAAGGAAGGCGCCCAGGAGGCATCCTAATATGTCTTCTAGCATATAAAAAACCACCGTGTGGACATGTTAGCCAGGTAGAAGAGGTGATTAGTCACTGAGCTAGGTCTTCAGTTTAAGTCTAGAGCATCTACTCAACATCTGCACTGTATGGAGTTTGATTTGTGCTCAGTGGGGGACGTTCAACACTTATTACCTCTGCCGATCCACTTCCTACACGAATCTGAGAGCTTACAACACCCAGAGGATGTTTTAAAATAAGCAGCTGATAGACTTAACTTGCCTTGACACGTCTTCACATTGATTTGATGCTGATGCTCAGAGAATGAAATCCGAGGCGACCGGATGACAGTCCAGCGCTGCGCCGCGGTTTTGCTGCTGCAGTTTCTTTAAATCTGAAAATCTTCCAGGCAGCCATTTTTTTATTTTTTTTTTGATCCACAGTCATTGACACGCGTTGACATTTTGCTCCAGGCAGCCGGCGCCCTTTCCATCCCGACAACAGTAAGTGTGTGTCCGGAGCCGTTGTAGAAAATATCCGAAGCCTGCGTCTCCGGCTTCCGCCGCCCTTAATGCCAAGAAGCAGACGCGCCGAGGAATGCTTTGGATCGGCTCGCACGACGCGTTTAGAGAATCGGGACTAGTTTCCATCGTGTTGCAGGCTTTCCAAATGTCATTCACCACACAGCTCACTCCCAATGAAGGAAACTGTGACTTATCTCAAGTAGACGCAGCACAAATCGTCTCAGATATTGATTGAAAAAGACAAGGCAGTAGTCACACAGAACTGTCAGTGGGACAAATAATGTAAAAACTCATGAGCATAAAAAGTTTATCAGAAGCTTATCAGAGGTTTGGTTTATTGGTTCCAGCTTAAAATCCCTCCCTCGTCACTGACTAAACCTCATCTCTGTGTATGAGCATTACACATTTAACAGGTTTTGTTTTGCTCAGGATGTGTCTCCCGGCGTATAAAAACACCCCACGGACACAAAAACCTGATTTTCACCACAAAGAGTCTCTAAGTTTACACACAAGCCCTGCAAATGTCAAGTTGCAAAATAGGTCAGTCGCAGCCAAAACGTCCCAGATTTTTTCGTCATGTGAGCGTTGGTCACAGCTGAGTCATTAATGGATTTATGTTTGGACAGAGAGGCGCATAATCTTCAGGGTTTTTTTTTTTTTTACAGAATCTGGTTACTGGAAATGGTTTTATTTTGGCAACGATGCAAAATAAAGTGATTTTGATGAGATAGAATGATTTTAAGCTTCAATTTGGTACGACGAGTAGTTCAAGGACCATCAGAAAGTTGAGTTTTTAGCAGTTTTTTCTGTTTTTCTGGTGGCCTGCCTTTCAAACCCACTGGCGGGTTTTAGTGCTTGGAGGGTAAAGACAATTTAAAACCTTCCACTGATGTGCGTTACCTGTTCTTGTGATTTTGGAGCTTTGGTTCACGCGTTTAACACACTGAGATTAACAAGTGAGACTTAAGTTCTGTAGAGGCAACAGAAACAAACAAAAAATGTAATTATTTCATGCAGGTTGTGCTAAAATTCTCCTGCCAGCCTCTGCTTCATCACGCTGACGTGAGTTCAGCGTGTTCACCGCTCAGCGCAACCGAAACCATTCGAGCAGCACGTCTCCCCAACGTTTGGTTGCCAACAATGTTTATTAAGGCAGACCTGAGAAAACAAGAATAAATCCGGGTGTTTAATTCAAATCATTTCACTCTGGACCACATTTTTTTCCCCTCTCTCACTCTCTCTCTCCTCTCCTCCTCTACAGATGCCTGCTGTGTTTGAACAACTGGATTTCATCAGCGGCACGCAGCCAGTCTGCCAGCAACCTCAGACGAGAACCTTCGCTTAAATGTCAGCGCAGCAGGTTGAGTTCTGGCCGCGGCCCGCCGGTCCGAGCCAGCGCGCTCATCAACACGCATCCCCGTCCAAGCCGTGTCCTCTACGTGTTCCGTCCTGTCAAACATTCGTAAAGCAGCTTCCATTCTCACAGTTTTTTTTTTTTTTTGCGAGGAATTATTTTGACTTATTACAGAGCAGCCTTTGCCAGTAATTAAGCCTCGTTCTCCAGACTCGCCGCGAGTGTTGACGGCACATTCTGACAGATTGGTATTTGGAATGCACGAAGGTTTGTTTGTGTAAAGTCTTTCCATCAAGCTCAAGCTCATTAGAAAGATATAGATTGCACCTCTCCATCATCTGTGTTTGTTCGTCTTGGCTGCGGGCTTTGAGCTCTTTACATTTCACGCTTTGGGACAACGGTGACAGGCCCGCCGGGCGAGGATCATGTGGGTGATACGAGGGGATGGAAGGTGTTTTCTCAAGCAGCTGATTACAAGAAAAAAAAACTTTGAAACGACATAGTTGTTCCCATAAAAATGTAATTCCCCGCTATAAATACGGGCTGCTGAAATTCTGACAATCTGCAAGTCAGCTTTGCAAAATCCCTCCACCTGTGCAAAGCCGGGATATTCAACAGAAAGAATGATTTCCTATAAAAAAAAATAGATATTTTCGGAGCAGGTAAGCCATAAAATTTCACTTCCTCGTGTTGAAAGCTTTGTCCCACAGTTTGCAGGTGGAATTTACATACATTAAGCCTGGAAACAAGTGAGATTCATGGCTGACAGTGGCATAAAAACCCATTCCTCTCTCCCTCTCTCTTTGCTTTCCCCCTTTTTTTTCTCTCTCTCTCTATCACACAGACAGCTTTGCTTGTTCCTGGTTGCTCATGTGTGGCAGCCGAGCTGGATGGAAAACATATTGCTCCATCAATCACGTCCCATTCTTCTCAGCAACGCGCTCGACTCTGAGACCGTCTGCGACTGAGGCCACACTGAATCGGTCTTTGTGTTTAAAAAAAAAGAAAAACAAAAAACACAAAGATGACAAACACTCCTCGGAACACATCCGGAGCTGCATCTCTGTCAAACTGTACCAATGCCGATGACCTGATCTCTTTCAAACGATGTTCCCTCCTCCTCGTCCTCCTCGCCGGTCTCTTGACTGACACCGTGTTGACAGTATCTTAATACACCGAGCGCTGAGCGTCTGCTGCGTTCAAACAAAGCCTCCTTCTCCCCTGTGTTTTGCCAATAGATCAAATGAAAAGATAGAGCGAGAAGAGGGAGGAAGATGTCGGTTTTCATCAATGTCTGGCTGATGCATTCAGGATTTTTCTGTCTTTCAACTCTTTTGTTTCAGCGCACACAAAAAAAAAAGACTAAAGAGAGCAACGCCGTGCCCACACCAGCAGAGAGAAATCCTTCCCTCCACCCTCTCCCCTTGTTCCCTGGCTACGTCCCCACTTGTAGCCCCTGGGCACCGCATATGTCACCTATTTGTACTCCAGAAAGCACTCGGTTAGGAGCTGAGGGCCAAGTATGAATGGAGGAACACTTACTCATTTTTCTCCAGAGCCAGGAGCAGCTGCTCACCTTCCGCCTCAATCAGGAGCTTCAGCGATGCAGGGTGACTCTGAAGAGACAAGAGAAGGGATGAGACGGATTGGTTCTGGAGGCAGTCACGGAGTCACTTTGATTGAAGAAAGATGGTTCGAATGCTGCAGCATTGGTTAGCACCATTTAACATAATAAATCAAGATCACTGCTGCTGCTGCTGCTGATGCTGCTGCTGTGTGTGTGGCAATAAAACACAAAACAGCAAGCGGCTCTTAAAACCCTTCTTTTATTCCAGCCCTGATGAAATCGCAGCCACGCAGCGCTGTGAGAAAACAACCCGAGACGACTGTTTTCAATTGATGGGAGCAGTCGGAAATCCTCATGAAGCTACTTTGTATCTGAGAACAAGAGCTGAGAGGATTAGCTTTATGTTTCTGTTCCATTTGACATTAATCCCGCGGAGAGCCATGAGTGTTGGCACCCCTGAGTTAGAACGCTGGGAGCGACCGTGCGTCTCTGTTAGAGTCAGATGAAGTGGCACGGGGTCGTATATATCACATCTGTCAGTCGCGCTGTGCAAAAAGAAAAAACACACACACATGCACACACACACATATTCAGAAACTCTCTCGCACAAGAAACCCTCCTCTGTCTCACTTTCTCCATATTGCTGGGCAACCACCAAAACACACACACACACACACATCTGACACATATAGTTCAATCTGGGTCAGCTGCAGCGAGGAGCAGCGGTTAAGTCATCCATCACCCCCCGTGAAGAAGAATGTCGAGTGGATCATAAGAGGATATGGAAGCAGAACACTTAAGGTTTTAGGCAGTATCATTCCAAACCACGAGGGACTCAACTTTCTGCTTCTTTTTTCTTCCTCCTCCTCCTCCTCGTCCAGACAGGTTTCCATCTGCACGGCTTGACTCGTGTTTACCGGCATTTTTAAGGAAACACAGATTTCTTATTAAGGAGTTATATATTTAAATTAGCACTCCGTTTCACCTCCGTTGTTCTCTAATTCACTGATCTGAGGTTTTGTTGTTTAGTCTTTTGGGTAAAAGCATCCCAAAGAAACCTTGTGGCACCTTGTCTGTTTGGCTAAGCCAGAACAAATTAATTCACAAATGAATTGAGTCAATAACACAACCTGGAAGCTCAAGCTGTGTTTTTTAGAACTGCCTGGCAGCCACGTATTTTCTTTTGATAAAGCCTGGGATTAGAACACCAAACAGAGCCAAGGATCACAGATTTCAAACACTTCATTAATGTTCCTCTGGGTCGTCGAGTGTTTTCTTCCTTTTCCTGAGATGCAGATATTGTACAGCTGTCTGCGCCTGAAGTACGAACTCGACATAAAGAAACAACGACGGCTGTTTCAACACGACTGTGTGCGGACAAACAGACTGCCGGTCCTGACGTGAAGGCAGAATTTATGACAATAAAACCGAGATTCATCGTGTAGTCACGGCAGAATCTGGAGATCATTTTCACTTCAGTTTGCATTAAAGTGAAATAACTTCCACACTGGGGCTGCACGGTGGAGAGGTGGTTAGCATCGTCGCCTCGCAGCATGGACAGGATGCCCAGGATCTTTCTTTGCATGTTCTCCCCGTGCAGCGTGGGTTCTCTCCGGGTTCTCCGGCTTCCTCCCACAGTCCAGAAACATGCTGAGGTTAATTGGTGATTGTAAATTGTCCGTAGGTGTGAATGTGAGTGTGCTTGGTTGTCTGTCTCTAAGTGTAGCCCTGTGATAGACTGGTTACCTGTCCAGGTGAAGCCTGAGTCAGCTGGGATAGACTCCAGTCCCCCATGACTTTAGTGAGGATTAAGCGGTGTATAGGTAATGGATGGATGGAACTTCCAGACTAATCGTGTATATTGAACCCATACATTGAATGGGGAAAATATCTAATTGTAATTTTCCTGACAACTAGAGCGGTTTAATTTGGGTTTTTCCTTGTTTTTTAAGTCAAGTTCCATCCAATAAACACCCCGTATATCCTAAATTGCAGCCTTCAATATTTCCTAATTGATTAGCTTCAAATTGCAGTTTCGACCTGAGATCGATTATCTGTTCAGCGCTAGGAATCTGAACAACCCGTCAACACGGCCATCCAAAGAGGAAGAAATTTGCAATCTTGCATGTTCACAGCTCACGTAGGAGACACTTGATTGGCTGTAATTTACTTGGAAAATGCAAAGCAAAACCTGAAAGCCAATCTTGGCTTTAATGTGGGTTTAAGTGTTGCGAATGCAACAGGTTTCACGGCGTGCCTTTGTTGGAAAAGATTTACCGCGAGCTCCTCGTGCTCGGCCAACACAATGCAAAATGCACACCGACGACGCTGCTATTCTAAGAAGCTTCCCGGTGGTGGGACTGGAAATTGAAAGCTTGCCCTGAGGCTGGCGTGAGACTGAGGGGCCGAGGCATCGTTAAAAACAAAATGGTTTATGAATCGTGATCATGAATGCATTCAGCAAACACAATCTACCTGTTGGATTCTGGAAAGTTACACTAGATGTGGGAATTTGTATTCTGACAGCAGAACGTTGTGGAGCCTTCATCCTCCTCAGGAAGGAAGCTTACGTCTAGATTTCTTCAGTACGGGTGCAAATTTCGACCTTTGACCAAAACATAAGGACCAGAGCAGGCCAGACAAACAGAAGGTAAACTGAAATAAAACATATTGTGAGGTGCTGTTCTCTACCTGAGATGTGAGCTGGCTGATTGGTTTCCAGTCTTGTCCAACGAGCTGAAGAGGTACTGTGGTCCCATAGTGTTTCTGCTTTGGTCTGTGCTGAACAGTCGTGCTCAAAAGACTCCCTGCAAAAGAAAATTGTAAAAAAAAAAGAAAGAAAGAAAGAAAAAAAGACATGTGAGAGTACAGAAAAGACTTCAAAGTGTTCTGTACTCTATTTTCTCTCCTGTAAAACCCAACCACGTCCATCCACTGCGGACACAGAATATAAGGACTTGATCTAAACTTGATGACAGAACTATTAAACCCTGAGCCGTCGTGAACAACACGAGAACAGCAGCAGCTGCCTCGTGATGCAAAGTGTCACTTAAAAGCCGTCGCATATGCAAATGCTGCGATTCTGTGTCACGGCGCACAAAGAACGCTCCCCGAATGTGTTTGTTTGTCATAACTACCAATTATCTGTGGTGACAAAACGCCATGTCCATTATATCCGAGGCGTTCCTGAGCATATGTTCACCTCCTTTTTATAGGCTATCAGCTGAATAGAGCGCGTCTCCTCTGCCATAAAGACATGAATGTGGCGCCGCTAAACAGCACATCAAGCAATGAGAATTGGTAGCTTCTGGCGAAACCGTAACCACCCCCTCTGCTGCTCGAGCTGCATAAATCTCCATAGTTCTTGAGGAGCGGAGAGTTTTGAAGGAAGAGGAGCTCGGCTTGCTGCTGCTGCCGCTGTGATAACTCCTAACACGGGGCTAGTGTCCAGGATGCAGTGCGGGGATTAGACGTAGCTTTGGGGCATTGTTCCCAGCACGCTTTTATCTCCTCTCTCACTGTTCTGACAGGGTGTTAACCGAGCCTCCGAACGGCTGGAACACTCAGAACCCCCGTCGCGTTTGCCAGTCATTTAAAGAATACATTCATCCCCAAATCCAACGCTGACCTCCCCGAGCGCGCCGCCAGCAGATGAAGCGGTGGGAAAACGGCCTCTAGCCCGAGCAGAACCTCGCTACCTTTAACCGAGGAGAAAGAAGCTCTTGTAAGTGGCACATCGTGAGCACGCAGGAACAGTAGTGAGCTACTGGAGGACACTGGTAACAGGGTTCCTGCAGTAATCAGCTCCCTGCAGCGGGGAACTTATTTCCGAGCTCGGGTCTCTTACTAAAACAGCAGGGGTTGTTAGCACCATTTGTTTCAGTGCAAACACACTAAATCAAATGTTTGCTTGTTTATTTTTTTTCTTTACGGTTTCCTCCCAGAGATGCTCCGTTGAGCGTTTCCAAACAGCAGGGAAGCAGATTTGGATTTAAGGGTGATGTCAGTGGACTTGCGAGAAGTTGTGCGTGTGGTCTGAGCCTAATTTATGGTATGTTTTGAACTTTTCAATCACTTTTTAAACACATATAAACATAAAGCGCACTCGGGGGAATATACTCATCGCGGATTATTATTACCAGCAGATTTGTGTGTGTGTGAGGGGGGGGTTCACATCCTTTCTCGCCTTCTCTGAAAATGACTCATCCGCCCTAAATTGCTGAGTCTGCTTATTATCCAGCATTAATAACCCAGGTCAGGAGGAACGCTCCCCAGCTGAGCTTTGTTCTGGTTCTCCTCCGAGGATACCACCGCCACTCTGGAGTTCATCACGGAGCCATTCCAGCTGATAGTGGAGAGCCAGAGGTGACCAGCTCAGCAGTCCTCACCCAGCTCCAGCCTGATGATGAGAAGCAGGCTCCGGCAAAGGACGGTACGGCATCACACACACACACACACACACACCAGCCAGAGAGAGAAGATTTCTACCCTCATTAGCCCCCAGAAAAACCACACCGTCTGGGGGAGGTGGCGGTGCTGAGTAAGGCAGCGCATGACAACCTCTGAGAAAAGCACGGACGGATAAACAAAACAGATGAGGGGAAAACAGAGGGAACGTTTGACAGAGAAAGGTCAAGTCCACATTGTGGTTTAGCCCATTTATGAAGCCAACACACACACACACACACACACACACACACACACATGGCCATCGCCTTTTTTTCTGTGGCATCAACTTTGAAGACGAGGTTCGCTTCCTTGACTTCAAAGTCCACAAGTGAATAAGCGTTTTGTTAATGTGGTGCGCTACGAGGTTTGATTCCCGCTTATAAATGGTATTATATTAGTGGAAATAGTCTGCGGGCTCATTTCTTTTCCACATGCTCGGTGGACAGACGTTCGGTGAAGCCGGAGCGTGGCGGGACCGTGTGGCGTGTGCAGCGCGACTGTAAGTGGCTTTTGTTAGCGGGAATGTTTTAAGAGCAACCAGCAGCATTCAGGGAGCGGTAAAAGTGGCACCAGGACCCGAAGCCTTATTTATACGTTCAATAAAGGAGAGTGTAAACAGAGGTCTTAATAAAGCAGCGTTCTGGCCATGATCACCTCCCTTTATGCTCCAGTGTACACAAGGAGAGCTTGTGCCGTTTATATTGCCTCAATAAAGTCAATGCTAGATGGGAGGATTGTATGTCTGTGTATGAGGACTGTGTGTGTGTGTGTGTGTGTGTGTGTGTGTGTGTGTGTGTGTGTGTTTGCCCGTGGGTGACGGAAATGTGATACAGACCTGTGACCGAATTGAGCAATAAATCTGGCCTTTCCTTTGCAGCATTGTTAAGAAAAAAAAACAACTAAATCAACTGTGTACTGTGTGTGTGCTCGGTGTGTTCGGCCATTGTTGTGTTCTTTCACATACCAATACTTTATATGACTGACTGGTGGACGATAGTGTAAAATATGTGAATGTAAAAATGCATGTAGGCTTCTAACTTGTGCTAAATTAGACTGAAAGGTTTTTCGGACATCTGGGTGAGAAGTCTTTAACCAAGGTGTTGGAACCTTCCAATGAGGGGTAAATGAATCTGCATTGCCATGAGGTGGTTCATACAGATAATTCTTCTTTTCTTACTACAAATTCAATCTATCCAGTGGCCATGTATATCAAAACCACAAGCGTCACTCCCTATTGCAGTGCTGAAACCAAGGTAAAGTCTGCAGGATGCTCCATCCACAAACCATGAACGTCTTTACAAAATCTATTGTGCTAAGTCATCCTATAGATTTCGAGATATTTTCAAGACACAAAGTGCAATCAAAAGGCTCAGACGCTGCATCAATAAAAAGAAAAAACAAATTTAAATTTGACAGCCGTCATCTTGTGCAGCGATACCCAGGTCCCAGTGCTCCTGCCACATCTGCAAACATCGGCTAGATCTCCTCCACTGTGTCAAACCAGCAATCCTTTAGCTTAAATTTACATGAAAGAAGATGAAGAAGTAGCTTTAGGACATTATAGTAGACCTTGGCGTGAATAGTCTCACCCTGTGGGATGAGTTCACGCTGCACAACCCTGTCAATGTCGCACAAAACAATGAGCCCGCTGCTAACATGATCCACCGTCTTCAGTCTTGGAGAATCTCAGACTGCTGAGTCGTACCCATAGACCCAACTTGGTCAGTTTGACACAGAATTCCTGCACAAGTTTGAGATCCATGGTGAAATCCACCTTAAAGTTTCCATAACAGGACTTCCAGAGAGCCGTCTAACTATGGCAGGAGTGTAGGGGGCGATGCAACACCACACTAAAGACCACTTCAGAGGGAACGGTGGCGAAATTTAAATCAGGTTTTTCCTTTTTATAGACGCGCTCTGGTAACGTTCCCGATCGCACCTTGAATCGCCAAGATTCATCCGGTGGAAACCAGGAATGTCTGAACCAATATATTCTATTGTTGATGGCACATTGCATGAATTCTTGAACCAACCTACCAACAGTAAGACTGACCAACAGACATAGATGACCGTTCCTAAATAAATAAAACTGTGTGAAGACCAGATGATTTTGTTGGCTTTCCTAATCTGCTCTGCTGATAATTTTGGAAGCCCTTGGAGAGGTCACAACCCCTGGCTGCAATAATCACAGAAACCAAAAAAAAACTTCTTGGATGTCCAGGTGAGAACACCATTTCTGTTATTATATTTCATTCACTCTTCAGTCTATTGTTGGCCGGTTTTAACCTTGACATCTAACCCTCTGTCCAGCTAAAGCCAAAGCAGCGCGTGCAGCTTAAAGCTTCCTGATGGCACTTCACGATGAAATATTTCCCGGTTTTATCAGCGCTCTTAAATAAATGCTTCTCCGCAGCCTACGAGCTGCCGTTCCAGGGGAGCAGATGACCTTCCTCAGTTCTTTGCAGATCTCCAGATACCCTTTTCTTGCTGCTCTTTTACAGCTCCTTCCCGCTCGCTCTGTTCCACCAAAACAAATTAACAACTGTTCAGCTTTATTAAACCCCAGAGCCTGGCTTCTCGCAAGCAACCGCAGCTCCATCCTTGACTGGCATCCATGTAATAATGCATTCATAGCAATCTTTGATTTTCCAACACAAATGGCTCGCTGTTCTTTTCATCTGCGCTCTTGATGAGGCCCTGCCCCCCCCTACGTACGCATAGAGACGGGATGCAGGCTTCACATACGTACACGCATCGATAAAAGGCTCTCCAGATGACAGTCATTCTTAGCCCGATGACTGGCACCGGAAAAAGCACACAAGGACACACTCCAAAGTCACTTTGACAGCAGTTCTTTGCGATCTCGAAAATATCGGATTTGAAATGAAAAACAACACCTTTGGCAGCTTGAAGGAGACTCTTTGGCGGGCGAAATCCCTTGAATGGTACAAAAACAAGCGTGAAGGACACATGCTTCCAGCATTGTTTTCCAAATGTGGAAAGTGTTTGCCAGCCATAGAAAGTAACTCAGAGCATTAATTCAACTTTGAAGTGCCATTTTGAGGTTCCTGTCCTTTACTTGAACATTTCCATTTTTTTGTTTTTTTGCTGCTTCTGAAGGATATATTGGATTTCTGCTCCACTTCATTTTGAGGCTTTATTGAATGCCAATCCATATCTGTCAGCTTTAGTTAGCGGCGCCTTTTCAGATTTTAAACAAAAAAAACAAGCAACACGTTTATAAAATGACCATCACCTTATCCATAAAAAGAACAACCTTTGTATAGCTGGGCGCCTTTTGTCATGTTTGAAATGTGTATGAGTTGTTAAAAGAGTTAGTTCTCATCAATGTGGGAGT